TTTATGGAGAAACCCAAAAGGCACGTGGCATTCCCCTACAGCTCCACTGGGTGGATCTGGAGTAAGGGAACAGGGGAAGAGGTAGAGTTAAGGTTGGTGCCATTTAGAGTCAAGCCTAAAGCATAGTATGAGAGGGAGGCAAAGAAAAGAAAAAGAAAAGGAAATATTTGGACTGGGGATTTAGCTCAGCGGCATAAGCACCTGCCTTGTAAGCACACAGTCATGAGTTCGATCCCTGGTACCAAGAGAAAAAAGAAAAAGAGAGGGAGGCGAGGGGTACACAGAGCCAACAATCATTTCCCAATTTAGGATCTACTGCCTGCAGGACCTGATGGAGGCTGGGTTTTTTTTTTTTTTTTTTTTTTTTTTTTTGTCTTTTTCCTTTTTATCGGTACCAGGGATCGAACTCACGACTGCCTGCTTGCAAGGCAGGCGCTTATAGGCGCTTATGCCACTGAGCTAAATCCCCAGCCCCATGGGGGCTGTTAACTAGGCACATAGGTCTGGTGTTGGGGTCTGTTTGGAACCTACTTGATTTAGGGTGCCAGGGGTGCCAAAGGAAACAATGATGGCTTTGGTATAGGGACCCTGATACAAAGCATGACAAAACCCCCTTTTTTTTTTTTTTGTAGTTTGTTTTTGTTTTTGTTTGTTTTTACCAGCACCAGGGATCGAACTCACAACTGCCTGCTTGCAAGGCAGGCACTTATGCCACTGAGCTAAATCCCCAGCTCCGACAAAAACCTTTTTTAAAGATTACTTATCATCCCTGGACTTTTTCCCCTACCAGTGATTTGAATACTAAGTTGACAACTCTTGTCCAATATTTGTGGTTGGAGTTTTTGGTGGCATAGTTTGTTGGATTACAGTTCCTAATTGGCAAACTAGGCTTGAAAGAGGCTGTGTAAAACGAGCAAATTTCAAATCATATGTCCTGTACCCAGAATAATATAGGTTTGAATAGCCCAAACCATCACAAAAGTAATCAATTGTCCCTCTGCAGTAACCTGTTGAATAATTTCCCATGATTTTGGTTCCAACCAAGGTAAACGTATTTATTATTAGTCTAATATTCAAGTTTCCAGTCTAAGCCTTGCAGCCCAAGCAAAAGGGGTTGGTTATCCTGGGACAGGCATCAAAATACAGAGACATGGCTGGGGATGTAGCTCAGCAGTATAAGTGCCTGCCTTGCAAGCAGGCAGTCGTGAGTTCGATCCCTAGTACCGATAAAAAGGAAAAAAAAAAAAATACAGAGACACAGTGACCTGAGAGGGATCCCATCTGGTTCAGTTAGGAATCCTTATAGTGCCTGCCAATTCGACTTGGAACTCCTAGTGCCCTGAATTTTTGTGACAAGCATGTGGCTAAGCAAGTTGAGTAGGAACAGACACAGATTGGTAGTAGCAGTCAGCTTGACCCAAGGAAAGGTAGTTCAGAGTACACAGTCCAACAGTTATACCAGCATGCAAGAGAGTGAAAGTGACCTTATGGGGAACTCCAATCCTCTGGGGACGCAGCCCAGAGCCCTAGGGCAAACACTGAGATTAACAAGAGGAGGGGAGTGGGAAGGGTCCTCTAGCCAGCATGTTTCAGAAGAACTGTAACCAACAAGGAAAGAAACTGGGGCCTCCTGGAAAAAGCAAAAAAGATGGGAAGAGGAAGAAACAACAAAAAGTCCCCAGGCCCCAACCCTCAGAACACTGACTCAGGACAGGTAAATAGAAAGGAGAATGAGAACAGCAAACATTGCAATATCAGACACGGTGCCAGTGGACATAAAGAGAGATATTTGGAGCCAGGCGTGGTGGCTCACACCTGTTATCCCAGCACTCAGGAGGCTGAGGCAGGAGGATCACTGTGAGTTCGAGACCAGCCTGGGCTACAAAGTGAGGTCAAGGCCAGCCTGAACTGCATAGAGACCCTGTCTCAAAAAGCCAAAAAAAAAAAGAGAGATATTTGGGACCTCATAGACAAGTTCAAAAGTGAATTATTTAGCCAAGTAAAGCAAGTTATAAGATTAATGAAAGAGATCCTAAACACCCCTCAAGCAGACACAGATGGAAGAAGGGAGGAACTCAAACAAAGGAGAGAACCATTTGATGAAGAATATAAAAAATATAGAATACATGAAGCAGATTCAAAGAGATTACAGGAAATTAAAAACTCTATGGAAACATGGCTAATCAGCTTGAAAGAAACTAAGGATAGATTATCCAGATTAGAGGCCAATTTTGCAATGTGGGATTATGAAAGGGAAAACTTTTTAAAAATAACAAAGAAATAAGCAATACAAAGGCTAAAAGATGACAAGAGGATCTATAACTTGAGAATTAAGAATGTGAATGAAGAAGCTGGGATACAAACAAAGGAACTACAAAGGTTATTCACAGAAATAATTAAGGAAAACTTCCCAAACATAGGAAACGGAAATGATATTCTGATATATGAGGCATACAGAACTCCAGCCACCTACAACCAAAACAGAGCTACACCCAGGCATATAATAAAGATCCCAGAAAGTCAATATGAGAACAGAATATTAAAAGCTGTTAGAGACAAGAAACAGATAACCTATAGAGAAAGGCCCATCAGAATAATGGCAGACTTCTCAACACAAAGCATCAAGTCAAGAAGAGCCTGGAGTGAAATATTCCAAGCCCTGAAAGAAAATAACCTATTCCAGATTGATATGCCCTGACAAACTATCTCTAGAAATTAATGGAGAAACAAGATGCTTCCAAGACAAAGAGGAACTTGGGAAATTCGCAACCACCAATCCAACTCTACAGAGAATACTGCAGGGCATTCTAGAGAGAGAGAGAAAAGTACTAGGATTCCAGGAACAGTGGCAGAGAGACCTCAAAGAATGGAGCAGAAAACAGAAAGAAGAAGATAAGCAGACAACTGATGGCAAAAAAAAAAAAAAAAAAAAAAAAAAAAAAAAAAAAAGAGCATAACAGAAATGAGGCAGAGAAGATTTTATTCAAAACTGATATGATTGATAGTATCAAGTCTGAGAGTATAGGCAACTATACTGAAGATCACAAAACTCTATGATACACATTCTGGTTTGATAACTGCCAGTTTTTGAAGTTCTGTACTATATACAAAGTTGTGTTTTTATTAATACTGTTATGTACTGATATACTCAATTATACTATGTCTAATGATATAGCCAATTCTATTAGAGATAACAAGAGACAACACAGGAACCATGGTAGAACTCTTTGTACAATGGTCTTGTATGTTTTTTCGTTTCATGCGTTTATAGGAATATGTTTTCTTTTGTCTTGCTTTGTTTTGTTTCTGCTTTCTAAAATAGAAAGGATAGAAATACCTGTTAAGACTCATGCATGTGTAGAATCTATAAACAGTTTATGAGAACTGATCTTATGACACAGGAAATGAACAGATACTTTGAAGAAAAAGAGACACTAGGAGCTGGGGATTTAGCTCAGCGGCATAAGCGCCTGCCTTGCAAGCAGGCAGTTGTGAGTTCGATCCCTGGTACCGATAAAAATAAAAAAGACAAAAAAAAAAAAAAAAAAAAAAGAAAGAAAGAAAAAGAGACACTAAAATACCCAGTGCTGATCCTGGGGTGTCATAATGTGAAACCCAGCAATAGTATTATTCTTTATTCAGAATATTAGCCTGCTTAGGTTTGTTCAATCTCAACATAATTGAAGATATGGATAACTGCATGTATGTTTAAGTGTATAGGATTGATAACCATATTTTTAACTTTTTGTTGGATAGTTGAACAGAACTGGTTGCAATCTCAGTTTGAATCCCCACTTTATATGCTCCACTTCAGTATCTTGAATAACTATTTGTAAGAAGACAGTCTGTAATCAACTAGTGGTTTCTTACATTTTTTTCTTTGAAATTATGTATTATTTTTACCTGTTTTCTGTTTTGTTTAGTCTTTCTTTAAATTAAATTTTAAAAAAAGACACTACAGTACCCAGTGCTGATCACAGAGTGTCATGATGTGAAATCTAGCAATACTATTATTTTTTGTTCAGAATGATTTTAACCTGCTTTAGTTTGTTTAATCTAAACATAAATGAAGATATGGATAACTGCATATATGTTTAAGTGTATAGGATTGACAACCATGTTACTAAGTTTTTGTTAGACAGTTGAGCAGAACTGTTTGCAGTCTCGCTATTTGAATTCCCACTTTACATGTTCCATTTTTGTATCCTGAACAACTATTTGTAAAATGACAATATGTAAACATCAACTAGTGATTTCTTACTGTTTTTTTCTCTGAATGTATTATTTCTACCTATTTTCTGTTTTTGTTTAGTCTTTCTTTAAATAAAAAAAAAAAGAGGAGGGGAACCAGAAACCAAACTGAGTAGCAGACCATGAATCAATCAGGGCACATGCTTCAGTGTACGGTGTCCATCCAGCTTTAGCCATGCATTGACCTATCAGCTTCCAGAGTGCTGGGAGCAGGGCTTGGAGTGCATCGTTCTCTGAGGATTGTCCTCAGGGGAGCTGACTCATCTTGGTAGGCATTCCAGCAGTTGTCTGGGTGAGCATTCTTGATCCAAGAATGAAGCATCTATGGCTGGATCTCAGAAACCTTTATCACTGTGGGAGTGATTAGAATAGTTACATAGGAGCCCATCCAAGTGGATTGTAGGGACACCTTTTACCAATCTTTTTTCCACATTAGATCCCCTGGGGTAAAAGTGTGTGCAGGGTCCCTGTGGGGATGGCTGACCTTTCAGCTATATGAATTTGAGGAAAGGTTTTCCCTAACTGTGTAAGTTGTTCATGCACAAACATGTTACCTAGCCAATGTAGGTCTCCCTAGAGACCCCTAATTCTGAGTGGGGGTCTCCCATATAAAAACTTCAAAGGTTCATAGCCTGTGGGTCCTGGTGAACTTTGGTCCTTGAGGAGGGCCATGGGAAGCAAATGCACACATGGAGACTGTCTTTCTTACTTTTTACTCATTGCTGAGACAAAATACCTGATGACCAAAGTGGGGAAAGGAAAGTTTTATTTCTTACAGTTTTTAGAGGTTTTAATCCATACTCGGTTGGCTCCAAGGCAGGGTGGCATGGCAGGGCCGCAGTTCATGGTGGCTGCAAACAGCAAGGCAGAAACTGGCAAGAGAACGAGACACACCTTCTTCCTGCCATTAAATTATATCCTGGTGTCTCCATTCCTCAATGAACAGGTCTGGTCACATCAGGGATACCTAGTGCTGGGGTTGCTTGACACTGTCCATTTTATGGTCTGAAAGGATTTAGTCTGTTCTAAAGTTCAATTTAACAGCTCTTTTTCATTTTCTTTTCCTGCTAGTGTATCACATAGATACACTAGAGGCTTAGCCTTTTCATCAAACCCTGGTATCCAAATTTGACAGAAGCCCACAGTGCCCAGGAATCCTCTAAGCTGTCTTTTATCCTCAGGTCTTGGAATGGAAGAGATGACTTCTTTTCTCTCAGGGCCCAGGTACCTGAGTCCTTTTTCTAAGTTAAATTCCAAATAATGTAATTTTTGTTTACATATTTCAGACTTTTTCCAGGAGACCTTATAGTCAGATAAGAAAGCCAAATGAGAAAGAAGGGCCTGTGTTCCCTTCCTGCAGTCTATCTTGAATTTCAGATTAGTATGTCGTGGGCATATTGTCTGAGGGTATAGTTAAACTCTGCATGTTGAAACTGGGCTAAATCAGCAGCCAGTGCTTTCCCAAAGAATGTGGGGGAGTTCTTGAAACCTTGTGGTAAACTGGTCCAGGGAAGTTGGGCTTTCCATCACATCTCTGGTCCTCTCATTCAAAGGCAAATAAGGGTTGACTGGATAACTGCATATATGTTTAAGTGTATAGGATTGACAACCATGTTACTAAGTTTGCAAACACTTGCAAACAGAAGAAAGCATCGTTTAAGTCCATACAGGTGAACCAGGCAACATCAGAAAAATGCAGACCCAGAGAGTATAAAGGTTGGGGACTATTGGTGCAGAGCTGTGGTAGGTGAGTTGATGGCACAGAGGCCCTGGCCAGTAGTTCCTGTTTGACTTTCTCACCAGGAGGAAGGGAGTGTTCCAAGGTGACTGGCAGTTTACCAGGATTCTAAACTACTTCGAGAGATATGGGGCTGGATGCCAAGCTAAGCCTCTAGTGACATACAGTACTGCTTAACAGCAATGGAGGTTGCAATAGGACAGAGTTCAATCACCAAAGGGGCATGATTAATCGCAAGCCCTGGAGGTGAGTCCTCTGCCCATACTTCTGGGAAAAATTCTCTCAAAACCTCAGGATTATGATAACCAGGCATTTCAGGCTGATGTAGGTGCCATTTCTCCTCTTGGGGTACAATCATAGTCAATATCAAGTTAGGAACAGTGGACCTGAGTATGAGGGAGGCCGGCTGATTTGGATCAAAAGGGATAGCTGTTCCCAACTTGGAAAGATCACGTCCCAGAATAGAGATAGGGCACTAAGCCATGTATAAGAATTCACGTTTGATATAATGCCCACTGATCTTGCAGGATCTGCTTTGACAGAATTTCTTTTCAATGGGGCTCCAGAGGTGTCAATAACTTAGATTTACCATGAGGTTAAAGGAGAAAGAGACTGAGTCACAACTGAATGTTTAGTCCCACTGTCCAGCATAAAAATATTAGGCTTTCCCTTTGATTCTGGCAATGACCATGGCCTCCCAGGGGCCCAATCTAATGGAGCCCACTCTGTCTACTCATTGTCATCAGAGAGAGAGAGGAGAGGCTCAGGCTTAGGTGGTCCCAGATAATCAGGTTTCTTTGTGTACCACAGACAGAGAGGGCATTTATCTTTCCAGTGTCCAAAATGTCTTCAGAAAACACAGTGGTCAGCTGCCAGGCTATAAGTTCTCCTGATAGTTTTAGATTGTAAGGTTTGTGGGGACCCCTTATATTTGTTGCCACGGTGGGACCGGCCTTGATGAGAAACTTCAGGAACAGGCTTTCCTAACATTATAGCCCAGAGAACAGCTTTCTATTGGGCTCTGCGATCTGCCTTATATCATTGTTCCTGCTTTTCCTCTTCCTTGGTTTACATAAGCCTTCTGATCAACGTGAAGTAACTTGGAAATGTTCACGCCAACAAAGTCATCAAACTTTTGTGTTTTCCTTCTGACGTTAGAGGCTGATTGTGCAATGAAGGCAGCCTTGACCATCTGCTGATTTTCAGGCACCTCTGGATCAAATGGCGTATAGATCCGTAAGCTTCACAGTGTCTCTCAAAAAATTTGGCTGGACTTTCATTGGGTTTTTGAGTGACTTTGGTTACATGTTTATTGGCTTTTTGCCTCCTTCCTTGAGTCCTGTGAAGAGAGATGTGCAGTATTGATCTAAGGCCTCATGGCCTGGTGTCATATTGCAGTCCCAGTTTGGACATACTTGGGGGAAGGCTGTGCCTACCCAAGAATCAAGATCAACCACAGTGGAGGGGGCTTTTGATTTTAGCCAGGTTTGGGCCCCATCTAGAATGTGGTGGCATTCTTCAGTATTAAACAAGGTCAGAAGGAGTTGTTGATAGTCATCCCATGTTGACAGGTGGGTCTGGAAGATGAATATAAGGAGGTCAGTCATTGCCTGGGGCTTCTCTGAGTAAGATGGGTTATGATGCTTCTAATTCAGTGGAACTGAATAGCTGAAAATACATCAAGGTCTGCTGGTTGGGTATGCCTCCTTGGGCTCCAGGGTAGACACAAAGCAGCAGCTAGAAATAAGCTGGAGCCCTAATCTGAGCAGCAAAGATAGCACCTGATGAGAAATCAATCTGGAGTTCAGGAGGCACTGTAGCAGTTCTTGGCAGTGGAGCAGTAGAAGCTGGGATGGTAGGAAACTGCAGCAAATGTAGACCTCTAGACGATGGGAGAGATTCTGAAGCAGGATTTAGGGTAGGCAGTGTGGGTCTAGTGAATCAGGAATGCTGATGGAGCCAAGGTACCACTACAGCATGCAGCTGGAGCAGATGAAAACATGTGTGGGTTCTGAGGTGTGAATGGTGTCAGTGATGACAGTGGTGCTATGGAAACTGGGAGGCTGAGGGGCGGTAGCAGCAGCTCTGGTTGTGGCAGCAGGAGCAGACTCAGCTCTAGTGGCAGTGGTGCTGGCTGTAGCAGGGATGGCAGCATTGCACAATCTGGAAAGGCACCTTCACCCTAGGACAGTCATGGGAATACCTGGATCAATGGAGGGGGCACCAAGGCTAGCTGGGCAGTTTGGGGCCCATAAAATGTAAGTAGGCGGCAGATCAGACTCAGGGTCTTCAGGATAAAGTTTCTCTAGCTTAAGGCTGGCCTGAGAAAGTTTTGGGTGGTTGCAGGAATTTGTCTTGATGATCAGAATGGTCTTTTTGTCATGTATGGCACAAAGCCAAGGAGGCAGGCTTTGACACAGGTTAAGCCAAGAATCAATGTAAGGAAATGGGTCAGAGAAGCCAATCTTGGAATTTTTAATGCCATGTTAGACTTACTGGACAGTCTTGACATCGAGACTTCCTTCAGGCAGCCAATCTGGACATAGGCCAGTCGATCTCGTAGTATGTCTGGAGCCTCTGAGGTTTCATTTTTACTTCATAGTCATCAGGGAATCCTCTCTTGAAGTTTTTCAGCGTACAATCAAGGACTGTAAGTTTACTCTGGCTTGTATCCATTCTATCTCCCTATGGTTTAATGTGGTATACCCTTAAATGGTGGCGCAAAAGACAAAGGGTAGGTGCCCCTCAAAAAGAGATCATCCAGATGCCACTTGTCTCTTGCCTCTCAGGAACACTGAGTCTGCCCAGATTATGGAGAAGTGTTGGTAGGTCCTCTGTTTTTTCCTTACTAGATGTGTCCACAGAACTGCAGGTTCCAGTCAGGTGGGACCAAATCAAGCTTTGTAGCTCTGAGGTCACCATGGAGCACAGATAGAATGGTCTACTGCTTTTACCATCAGTTACAAACACTCACACAATTATTCAGCAGGCACTCAGAGGTTAAACATTCCAACTCCCTTCCCTCACAGGTGGCCTTAACTAATGAGAGGTGATCAAACTCTTTCTCAGGCCTAACCAGGACTGACTGATTGGTGACCTGACCTTACTGTGTCCTTTCTCCTCTTTTTGAGGCAGATGAAGGCCATTAGTGCTGAGCAGGGGCCTGTGGCCTGGGGCCTCTGAGGGGACTCCAAGAAGGTCTGGAGGGCACGCCTTCTTGCCAAGGAAATTGAAGAGGTCTCTGCTTTGGCCACCAGACCTCAGTTGGTGACTTAAGCAGTCAGCACACTTCCTGGTCAGGGAAACAAGAATATTACGAAAAATGGACTAAACACAGGAAGAAATCGCATGAAGGTTTAGAGGCAGTTTATTACATTGGTGGGCCTGACTAGGATCACTCCCAAAGAGTCAGAGTCCTGCTCCACAGGTTTTAGGAGCTTTTATAGGGAGAGCAAGTGGGAGGTACAAAAGCAGGTTTGCTATATTATTACTGAAGGGTTGGGTGACATCACAAATTGACAAGGGAGTTTAAACATCTCAGGTTACATTGCAAGGCCATCAGTTAAACAAGCATGGGTTACACAAAGAAATGTTCTGTTAGCAGGCTTGTCCAGACATGTCTGTTTTGCTTTGGCGGGCACTCGTGGTGGGCTTTCTTGGAAGGCTTTTAAAATTTTAATTTCCTCTTCACCTTAATTTAGTACAATTTTCTTATATGTTTTATGTGTTATTTGGTGGCCCTATTCGTTTGGTTTTCAATCTGTGTGTATGGTAACTAACTGTATAAGGTCTTATAAGATAAATAAATGAATCTAATGCTGAGAAAATAAAACAGAGTAGAGGGAGGGGGAAAAATAAAAGAATTGGAATGTGTTATACACGTGTACCAATTCTCTACAGTGAATGTAATCATTACATACTACAAATATTAACTAATAAAAGTAGAAAAGGAAAAAGAAACCAACATGCCTTCTCTATATACAAAAAATTAAGAGAAAAGAGGATAAAAACATTTAAAAAAACGGAAGAAGGAAGGAAGTTATCATCCATATGCCTTACTAAATTCCAAATGGTTTAAAGATTGCAAGATAAAACTGGGGATGTGGTGGCACACACCTGTAATCCCAGGATAGGAGGCTCATCATGAGTTTGAGGCCAGCATGAGCTACACAGTAGTTCAAGGGCTGTCTGAAATACATATGGAGATCCTGTCTCAAAAAGAAAAAAAAAAAAAAATCCCTAAAAGTAAGAGGATAAACCAAGGGAGATTTTTTTTTTTTAACTTTAGCAGGTCTTTATGATTATAACACAAAATCTAGGACCAAAGAAAAATGAAATATGGATAAATTCAATCCCATAAATACCTAACATTTTGCATGGCAGAAAACACTCTAGGAAAAGTCAAAAGTCAAGTGCTGTACATGGTGGTGCATGCTCATAATCCCAGCACTTGGGAGACTGAGGCAGAACAATCATTGCAAGTTTGAGACCAGCCTGGGCTACAAAGTGAGTTCAAGGCCAGCTTGAAATACATAGTGAGACTCTGTCTCAAAAAGACCAAAAACAGGGGCTGGGGATTTAGCTCAGCAGCATAAGCACCTGCCTTGCAAGCAGGCATTCGTGAGTTTAATCCCTGGTACCGATAGAAAAAAAAAAAAAAGTCGAACACCAAACTGGGAGAAAATATTTGCAATTAATTTGACAGTGCTGATTTTTCCAGTGTATAGTTTCCATGAACTAAAATAAATAAATAAATAGTCAAGTTATAAACAAACAAAGGAAAATATAACTATCTTAAACATGAAAAGAAGCTCATACCACATAAGATAAATTACAAATTAAACTACCAAAACATACCATTTTTTACCTATCAGCTTCACAAAGGTCAAACATTTGATAGCAACACTGACTCTATTGGGAAACAGGTATTTAAGGATACAGTATTGCGTAGCACCTATCCACACATGCCCATGCCTTTTGACTCAAATAGTCCTGCTTCTAGGAATAGATTTGCATGAGGTTATTCAGTGCAGCAATTCTAATACCAAAACATTGAAACCTGTCTTGATGTCCTTCACTAGAACACTGATAAAATAAATTACTGAGTATAACATGGTATATTAATAACCATAAAAAGTCCTACGGAAGCTCCTTTTGTATTCTTATGCAATAATTTCCAAAATATATTAAGCCAAGAAATGTCAGTAGGGCAACCCAGTTTTAGGTCCTTTCCTGTCTCTCAGAAGATATCTCCCTCAATAAAGCTTTCTTACTTTTAAATTGTTTTTGAGACATTGTCTCACTATGTAGTTCAGGCTGGTTTTGAGCTCACTTTGTAGCCCTGCCTGGTCCTGAACTCACAATAATTCTCCTCCCTCAGTCTTCTGAGTGCTGGTATGCACCACCACACTCAGCTTTTTAATTTACTCTGTTAACTTTTGTTTGCTTTTTAGAATTATTTTTTGAGGGACAGGGATTTAGCTCAGTGGCCCAAGTGCCTGTCTGGTAAGCAGAAGCTCATGAGTTCAAGCTCCTGTATCAAAAAAAAAAAAAAATTCTTTGATTGGGGGGAACATGAACTCAGTATATCTGACACTTAGTAGGTTGAGAATTAACATTTATTTTCCCTATATCATTTGAATGGCCCAGTGAGATAACTGGAAGGTCCTAGAAATTTTCATTCTGAGTAGTGTAGACAGAGAAGCTGCATTAAAAGAAAGAGTATAAATAATGTGGCTGTTATCCAGGAAGAACTCCAAAGACCAGAAACCAACAAAGACCAGCAGACAGACCAGTAATCAGCAGTTGACCAACAATTGACAGAGTTGACCAATGATGTCTGGCACAAGCTAGTGTCAACTGGCAGTGGCCAACAGCAGCAGAGATCAATGACTAGCAATGTTGATCCACAACACTTGAACTAGCTGGTGTCTTCTGGTGGCACCAGGAACACTAGCAGAGGTATACTTTGCTGATTCATGATATTTGTCTGAATAAAAGAAACCTCAATTGATTGGTAACTGGTTGATCTATCCAGGGCTAGTTCTGCAAGATGGGCTCCTGAGAAGTCTTTATGGCTCAAGTAAACAATTTGATTTCCAGGAAATGATTGCTCCTGTTCTTAGTGGGTGCAGAGCCTCAGTTGAGCTGATCTGAAAGGTTTTGCTTTTCCTGGAATTCAAGGTAACTACCCATTTAGGATAATGACTGGAGACTTCTAGGCATTGATCTAAAGGGTCTGGAACAGAGAATTGGAGATGGCAGTGACTCTCCCTGAAAATCTTAAAATACCTTATTCTGGGCTGGGGTTTTAGCTCAGCAGCATAAGCACCTGCCTTGCAAGCGAATGGTTGTGAGTTCAATCCCTGGTACCGATAAAAAAAAGAAAAGAAAAGACCTTATTCTTATTTTGGTGCCTTAGTCTTAAAGGCAGATGAGATAGGTTAGGTAAATTTAGGATTAATACATTTTGTATTACCATGAATCTTGAATTCTGTATAAACTATATTGCATTTGAATCATGTATGATTGCTTGTGTCAATATTTTTCCCTACAAAATAAGTCCATTCGTTTTTTTTTAAAAAAATAGCACTTGCACGGGCCAGGGATTTAGCTCAGTGGTGTAAGCACCTGCCTGGCAAGCACCTGGTCATGAGTTCGATCCCTGGTACTGGAAAAAAAAATATATCTCTTGTTTACTCCTTTGGCTTACTATCTTCTCAAAACAACATTGTACTAGAAATCCTTTTTCACTGGCATAGTTTGTCAGTGATGTAGAAGGAGATTGCTGCTCTGTGTGATTAAAGGTCAAAAAAAAAAAAAAAAGAAATGTAGGTGTAGTTCTCTTCTATTTACTTTATATGGAACCTCTGAAGGGCATTTAAAAAGCTGCTTCTGGTAGGGAAATAGTAGCTGAGGAACAGACAAGGGAAAACTTTTCATTATTATTTCCATTTTCAGTTATCCTTTCAAAACAGTTTTTCTTAAAAAAAAAAAAAAATACAGGGGCTGGGGATTTAGCTCAGCGGCATAAGCGCCTGCCTTGCAAGCAGGCAGTCGTGAGTTCGATCTCTGGTACCGATAAAATCGAAAATGAAAAAAAAATACAAAGAAACAAAACCTCTTAGTGGCAAATTAAGTTTGATGGGAAACAATACTTATTGAGCTGCCACACTCCAGAACAAGCACTTCTGACACAGTCATAACACAGTGAGAGGCCACCACAGGGACAAAAGATAAACAGACTTCTGGGCTCTCAACCTGATACTCATGAAAAGAATGATTTATATTTTCTTCTGAGGAAGTCAGGACTTAAAAGTAGTTTTTGCTAAAAACTATAACCCTTCACTCAGACCTACAGATAAGTTACAAGTAATTAAAAATAGAACAGAACTAACCTTCATCTTGTGAAGCTGTGCGTCATATTCTTCTCAGGTCTGCATATAGGCATGTTAGTCATTTAGGGAATATCAGTCTAAAACGACAAGCTTTATTAGCCACAAATTTACCTAGCCTATTTCATTGCCCTTGAAGACTACAGATACCAGGGTAAGAGATTTACAGCACAATCAGTGATGCTCAGAATATTGCCCTAAACAGCTTCACATGACTGAAAGTATCCCTCAAGTCATGACGATTCATCTTACGGGCACCAAACTGCCTCTCAAGTCATAAGGATTCCTCTGAAGCAAAGAAATCAGGACTGAGACAATAACCTATCAGACTGGTCTTTCTTTTGTGAACAGATAGGTCTGATGCTCTTCATTAGTGTGCCCCTACAGCTACTACTCAAGCTGTAGTTCTTTCCTTTTTAAAGTTTTTGCCTGTAAACTTACACTGTAGCTTTCATTTTAATTTCTATTATCAAACTAAAGCAAGGATCCACCCTGGCCAGAGACACTTTCACTCACATTGCCGTGGGGTCACCCTGGGAGTTCATTGAGATGTGTATAAATCCTAATGTTACAAATTAGAAAACAGGTTAGATTCATCTAGCAATTAACTGTGTCACACCTAGACCAATTCAAAAGCTCTAGGCACTCTTCACATTGCTTCTACTTAAGCAAACTGTCTTGTTTTTTGTTTTTTTTTTAATGCTGTTGGACAAGTTAGTTACACGTTGTCGCAAACAACAACAACAACAAATTAGAAAGGCCCTGGGTTCACTCTCCCATACCACAAATAACAATCATGATAGCGACCTGCAAGTGTAGCTCAACGGTACTTGTCTATCATTCCCTGGGTCCCAGCACGGCAAAAATTAAGAGTAATAATAAGGTATTTTTTGAGCACTTAGGATGTTGGAGAACAGTACTGAGTGTTTTACGGACCTAATCTCATATAATTTTCAAGAAAACTACATAAGGCAGGAATACTAGCCCCCTTCGAAAGAGAAGACTAAAGAAACTCAGAGACTCAAGTTTTAGGAGCCCAGACACACAACCGTTTGGAAATCAGGGTTAATTCCAATAGCCTGCTCTGAAGTCAAAACCACTCCCGGTTCAAAGGACAAAAGCAGGAACTCGGACCCCGAGCTCACCCGCACAGACACTTCCGGGAGGGCAGTTGAAGCAGACCGGCTGCGAAAAGTCGGAAAGTCGCGCAGGCGCCTGGGCGAACTCGCGAGAAGACGTGCTGGGGGGGAGGGAGAAAGCGGGCCTGTCCATCACCAGGCCCCGCCCCGCCCGACGCGCCCTCCAGTAGGCCCCGCCCCATCCCTGGCCAGGCGGGAAGCGAACGCGCGCTCTCTCCCGTTACCCTCCGCCTTGAGGGGGGAGGGCGGGGGAAGCGGAGGCGCGCGCTCTCGAGCTACGTGCTCGCGTACGTCGCCGGGGTTCGGCTGCGTCCGGCCGTCCGCCCGCCCGTTGCCGCCGTGTTCTTGCTTCGCCGGCCGCCGCCTTAGGGGGGCCTGGGCCGGGGCTAGCCGCCACCGCCGTTGCCGGGATGCCGCGCGTATACATCGGTCGCCTGAGCTACCAGGCCCGGGAGCGCGATGTGGAGCGCTTCTTTAAGGGCTACGGCAAGATCTTGGAGGTGGATCTGAAGAACGGGTGAGAAGGGCGGAAGAGGGGCTGGCCGTAGAGAGGGGTACAGGGCACTAGAGAAGGCGGAGAGGCCGCGGGAACGGGAGCCGAACGCCTGCCCTGCGCGGAGCCGTCGCTGGCCTGGTCGGGCTCCGCCATGGTCGCGGCGCTCGGGGGCGCGGATAGGCCCCGGCTCCCACTGCGCCTGCGCGGGCGGGGGTGGTAGCGGGATAATGGGAGCGGTGGCGAGGACTGGTGTGGGACCCGAAGAAGGAAGCCCGGTGGGACTAGGCTGCGGGCGCTCGGGAGGCCTGTGTTTTTTCTTCCCAGGTTTTGGGAAGGGACTTTTCTCGTTCTGAGGACTGTTGGAAATAAAAAGGATTTCCTGTCCTTTTTTCACCCCTTCCCTAAAGGATCAAACGGTCCCAATGCGTCTTTCCCAGGGACAGGAGCTCTGGAGAGGCCTTTAGATTTGCCATGTGCCACACTTTATTTGGGCGGGAGACTCCACTTTGAGTAGTCTAGTGACAGTTTCGAAAGTATCGTCTTGCCACGCTGAAAGCCCTCACCTTTCTCTGCGAGAGTAAAGTCTTTACTCGTTATCTTGAAGATTCCGTGCAGAGTTTCCATGCTGTGGTTTCCGTTCTCCAACTTGCCAAAAAATTGCTGTCCTGTTGAGGAATTCGTTAGAAAACAGTGGCCATCCCGGCTAGTGTCTGCGTCAACAAGTTAATACTGGTGGAGACACCGGCCTCGAAATTGCCTCCCCAGTATGGTCTGTATCTGTATTCCTAATCTGCTTTGGCAAAAACAGGGCAAGCAGGGGCAACAGATTTCAAGGAAAATAAGTGAGTGGTCAAGCCTGGCGAAGATACTCAACGGGAAAAACTGGAAACTAGTTAGGTAGGACTTAGCATAGTTGTAAAAAATTTGAAGAACAGAGGGAAACATTTTGGAGCGCTAAACTTTGGGTGTTTAGAGAAACCTTTGATTTTAAAAAAATAAAAGTCTGATAGGACTATAGTTTTCTTCCCAGCATTGACTGACTCTTGAGAAGTTAAAAAAGATACCTAAATGTTTTAAGTTGCATATGTGAGAAAAACTGGTAGCCAACGTTTCATTGTTAGCAAGAATTACCTTACTGAGGACAGTGACTTCAGTAAAGTGTTATTAATACTGATTTAGCATAAAAGGCTTAGAAATTACTCATTTTTACTCTGGAACCTCCAATTTTTAAGAAATTCAAAGAGAAAATATTAACTGTTACACATGTCAGATACAAGAGTTAAAATTCCTAGTTTTTTTTCTCCCAAAGGCCAACTAAGTGTTCATGATAACTTTTGTCAGAAAAAAACAAACGTAGGTTTTGAAACTGGATGGACCTGAGTCAAATCTTGGCTTCACCACTTAAGTACCTATGGGCAAGGTTACTTAATTTCTCTGTAGTTATTTTGTCATTCACATAGAAAAAGAAGGTCACACGTAATAAATGTAAAGTATTTGACTTTTAACATTGAGTGGTAGCTATAATGAAAGGTATCTGATTATAATCATTAGGAGGCAGCTTGTTAATGTTTGCTAACAGAATATATGTTTGATGAGGTCCATATGCTGAAGACTTAAGATGACAACTGAAAATGCTGATGGGTAAACTGGTTAATCAATCAAATGTATTGATAACCCAACAGGGTGCCCCATGGTGTGTTGAATGATTTGAATGAGGGGGGCAGAGGAGGGGTTCTGCTCTTGAAATTTGCCATGTGCATTTTTAATGAAAAAATGCTTGCTTTCACTTTGAATTCCAAACAAGTGAAATTTGGAATGCCTTCTTGAAAAGATTTGTTTGGGCTTTGAAAAATAGATTGGCTAGGACTTAAAATGAAAGGTAAATGGAAATAAATTATATGTTGTAAATAGAAATAAAGGGCAGAGGCAGGAGCACTGAGAGTTCATGGGCAGCCTTAGCAACTTAGCAAGAACTTGTCTCAAAAGAAATTTAAAGGGATGGTATAGTTTGGTGAAAAGTCCCTGGGTTCAATCCTTAGTGTTCAAAATGGAAAGAAAGAAATTTAACAATAACAAACAGCTATTAAGATTTTATACTGAAAAAATCAAAATCAGGATAGGAATTCAAAGGCTCTGGAGGTTAAAGATTGATCAACCCAGAAAATGGGAGAGAAGGAGAACTGTTTTCAAGACCCTGAGTATCTGAGGCTTTTTAAAAGAATTCTTCATTCTTAAAGTTAACTCTGCTAGATCATGACATGCATGAAATTCATCATTGTAAGTCAGAGTTGAAATGAAGAATGGAAGTCATTTTAGGAGTTAGTGACAGGTGTTGTAGACACCAGTAGCACACAATATGACCTCCCAGCATTATCCGGGAATCACTGCAAAAGAAAATAACTTCTGGGAGGAGGAGCAGTGGTAGATATATCTCAAGCAAGAATTATCTGACTTTAGGGCCAGGGAATTTAGCTCAGTGGCGTAAATGCCTGCCTGACAAGTGCAAGGTCATGAGTTCGATTCCTGTTACCAAAAAAAAAAAAAAAAAGAATTGTCTGAACTAGATAGCCAAAAATGAGGGAAAGCCTAAAAGGAAGGAGTAGGTGCTAAAGGAAAAGATTGCACAGTTTAGCTAGATGTATAAGCTTATAGTTGCAAACCTAAGAAAGAGAGTAGATCTCCCCATATAGAAGTGTCTGTGAGCATATCTGGATTGTGAATATTAGTAATTGAAATATAAAAGCAGACTGTGTTTGAATAGGGCTCTCTAAATTGCTGAAGAGCTCAAAATTGTAAATGTGAGATACACGTCAGTAGGTGTTTGCCTGAAAGATTGGAAGTAAAATTCAGAATTAATTAAGATATAAAATAATTGTGTAATAGAAAGTTGGTGAGTAAGAATGTAGGTAACGTCTCCAAAGGAAAGATTTAGTAACCAGGAAAAAGATTCTGTGGGGTTTAAAGAAGTATCCAAGCAGTCATTCCTTATCTACCATTTCATAGTATTAGGCAACCTTAATCTAACCTGCTGTTTTGTTTTGTTTTGTTTTGTTTTTGAGACACGATCTTGTTAGGTAGTTTAGACTAGCTTTGAACGCACAGAGATCCTCCTCCCTTAGCCTGCTGAGTGCTGAGATTACAGGATTGTGCCACCACATCCAGTTTAATCTGGTTCTGTTTTAGAGAACTTCCATAAAAATGGTTCTTTTGGGGATCACAAAAGTGATGCAGATCTCCCAGGACCATATAAACCATTCTGGATCCCACTAGGGCCTCCTATATTCCCACTGTTACACTTTTGATTTTGTGAGACAGGGTTTCCTGATATGGTTTAGGATGTAGGTACAGTATTGAATTCACTTTATAGCTGAATTTGGCCAAAACTACTGGCAGTCCTTGAGTGCTCAGTTTACAGATGTGTGCTACCATGCCTGACTCGAACTTCTACACTTCAGCAAGAAGTGCAATAAAGTGTGGGGAAACAAGCGCCAGGAGGGATCCTAGGTGTGTGTCAGTATTCATAATAGCCTTGCTGTCTTTGATTATATATGGATTTTATTTTTTGTTAATAAATCACTTGTAAAATGTGGACTTTTTGCATAGTAGTTACTCTTGCCACATATTTTGTGGTTTCATAGATCTTTATACCTTAATTCTTCCATTTTTTGGTTAATAAAACATACCCTAATTTTATTTTACATGCCCAGTAATTGGGAAGAGTAAACCCCCAGATTATTGATGACATTTTTGGCCTTTTTTTGTTGTTTTGGGGTGTGTGTGTGTGTGTGTGTGTATGTGTGTGTGTTTTCAAGGCAGGGTCTTTCTATGTAGACTAAGCTGGCCTTGAATTCTCTGGGCTCAAACCTGCAGTGATCTTTCTGCCTCAACCTCCCAAATCCTGGCATTGGAGATGTGTGTCACCATCCACCACAAGTTTTTTTTTTTTTTTTTAAGTTGATTAATGTCATGAATTAAAACGCAAAGAAATTTGGCTATAAATTTTAGAACCTGTGTTTCATATTATAGGAAAATCTTGTATGGCCAGAGTTTTCAGTTGATGTTCTGATCTATTTAATGATTTTGTTTGTTTGCTTTTGGAGACAGGGTCTTTACTCTGTATTCAGAAACTTACTGTGTAGCTCAGGTTGGCCTTTTAACTCTCAGCAATCCTTCTGCCTCAGGCTCCTGAGTGCTGGGATTATAGGCATGTTGCACCATGCATGGTGCATTTGAGATTTTTGATGTCTAAGTATTGTCATGATATATTTGTTTTCATCTTTGTTTGAAGCTCCTTTGAGGGCCCAATGGCACATCGCCTGTCTGGCAAGTGTAAGGTAGTGAGTTCAATTCCCATACAAAACAAACAGACAACCAACCAACCACCAATTAATTAGAAGCCATCTTGATTTTTTTTTTTTTAATATGTGGTTTAAGGCTCTTTCTTTGAGTTAGGTCCCTGCTGTATGTGTCCCCTGTCAGTATTCAGCCACTGTTGTGCCTTCAATGCTGAGAGGAATCTCAGGCAATCCCAGAACCTATACAAGGATTTGCTCTTTTGATACCCTTCTCTTACTCTTTTTTTTTTTTTTTT